ACTCATTGGGATATTACAAATATATTATTTTTATTTATAACAATCAACCCAATGCTCAATTTATTCGAAATTATCAAATCAAACCTTGGTAATGACACCTACAAACTCTTTACAGTTGATGGTTAAAACTAGGAATTAGATTTAGGGTTTTCATCACGAACTAACATCAGATATAATGCCAGAACGTTATTAAACCAAATGCATAAATGAATTTTGCTCCAAAATCCAACATCTATTGTTTTATATCTGATTGGTTCGTCCATAAATTGTAGTCTCACCATTATCATTATAAACTATATCACTAATAATGTCAACTCATGAACATACCATCAACTAAACAACCATCTAATGAGTTCCACGTAATCAAAAGATTTTCTCTGAGATGAGATAGTAATGACTAGAGTATTACCAATGTTTATATTTGAGTGAAATGCGATTAAATCCATTTTCAGATAGTTCTTATGATAAAAAATCAATATTATTCGACTAATTATTGATTTTTTGTAGGTATAATCATTGATAAATAGATAGAAAAATATTCTGCTTATTGATTGATATGCTAAAAATCGATGACGTTTCTTTTTGTTTTTATACATATTGATTTATCGGTCATATCAACTACAGTTAATAATTTGGACATATCCCAGTCACATAGTTCACTCGTCTAGTATAAATGAAATCGAGTGCACTTGATTAAAAATAATTACAATCAGTGTTTGCTTACTGGTATTTACAACTATACAACTAAATTCTGGAGAATAAATTAATTTTTAAAATGCAAAATGGATTGTGTAAGAGTTGATCGATTTCATTTTTTACATTAAAAAAATTTTTAACATGGAAAAATAAATTCTAAGTAGAAATATGAATAAAATGTTTAGGATGAAATCATGAATAGATCAGTGTTAGACCGCCATTTGTAAACCTGAAAGCATTGGACGGCCGTTTCGTCCTACTATGAGATTGGTCAGCAGTGCTCATCCACGATCCTGCACACGGAATTCAAACTCACGGCCGCGGATGATTAACCTCTAGACCATTGATCCGGCGTCCAACGGTGTTAATGTCTAACTCTAACCGATCCACGATATTGCGCGACCGTCCACCATTGTCTTCAGTTAGTAACTGTCTCATAAAATGTTTATTTTGAAGTAACATTATTTGAAGAATGGTTAGAAATCACAGGTCACCATATAATTGTTTCTTGGTAGAATAATATTACTTTGGAAGTACTACACTAATACTTTTTGTATATAATCACTAATATTCAACTACAATTATTTTTGAAAACCTCCACAATGAATCAGTAGATGCTATTTTCTTTTTCTCTTTTGCCTCAAATTTACTGGTTATTTCTGAAGGCTATAATCAAATTAAGCCATTCAAGTGCTTCCTCAGAATATTTCTCTCATCATTCCAGTTTCGCACTCTAACAGTGGAAAAATATCCTATTCTTTTTCCAAAAATATTCCTGCTGATATTTGATTGTTTCAACCATTAAAAAGTCTGAACAGTTTTCTAGTACTCTCTAACGCCAATGTCTTCATTATTTATCTAGCTTTCGATGCGAATTATTTATAATCATTACGTAGAATTATTTTCATCAATTACTTGGCTTCACTGTCTATCATCCTGACCAGTATAAACGCTAAACTGATTTTTTTAAATAGTATGATAGATTATATAGCTCAGAAGTAGGCTTTTGATGGTGTTTCATTAATCAAAGTAAAATTATCATACTCAGAGAAAACAACACCATTAAATTAATTATTATTCCGTAGAAAAGTGCGGTAAATTCTACTGGAAATCCTATCTAGTCTGCTAATAGTTACGAAATGAGTTCATGTAATGTTATTAGACATTTTATCTTGACAGTATAAACTGTCTTTTATCATTAGACAAAGAGACAGAACGGATCATAATTATGGTCATTACATTTAGTATCCAGAACTGTAATCGACATTAAGAGAAAAAAAATGGTCACTAGATAATGAATAATAATGATATATTTTATATCCAAGTTACAATAGAATTCTACTAATTGAGTAATTCAATATAGGTAGTCGAATCACGTGACATTACACAAAACCATTTTTTGAAACATGTGACTAAGAAATTAAACTATGTACACTTTCTTTTTGATTTGAATAAACAAATTTTTATCATAAAAAACTAGCACAATATATTAATGTGGAATAGAATATTTTATTTAAGTCTTCATGCTTGCTATTCATACTTATCTCATCTACACACTTTATTCAGGTGAAGTATACATAGTACTGCAATTAGTAAGAGAAAAGGTGTACACCGGTCACATTAGGAGATCAGATACATGTCTCATTTGCATACACTTTACATGGTTTATGACTGTTTCAAATTATTTAGTATAATTTTATTCAATAGATTATGCATGAATTTTATTATTTACAGTTGATTGATTACTGAATGATTGATCAGTGTCATGTATCCCAAGTCCTTCCGAGTGTTCACCGAATTCTATAGACCAAGTTGGAACGCGACAGGGTGTTTGAAGGCTATCGGCATGAAACTATGTTGAGATTAGATCTCAACGTATTGCACGCGATGTCACGTCACGTAGACTAATGGTCACATAACAACTTGATCTATAGAATTTGGTCAAGCCTAAAAAAGACTTGACATAGATAACATTGATCATTCACTACTTAATGATCAACCAATTGCATCTGAGTCCTACAGGATGTCAGTCGTGGTTTGAAGAACTCAGTTGTAATACCTCTGATTATGAAGCTGAATGATACGAGGTAGAATCCACCAGGAAGCAGCAAATGTCACGAGATTGACAAGTGTCAAATAACGCGAAACATAGGTCCGGAGTTTCCAGTCTACCGCCTCCAATCACCTTACATGATTTTTAATAACATTTGGGTTTGATATGTCTCAGATGGAACAAGATCTGAGCCCTGAATTCCATTATTAAGGACAATTCAATTAGTCGGAATATAACTGTTAACTGAAAAGAAAATACTGAATAATTAATTATTGAGTTTAAATCAATAAAATATAGTTTAAATATTTAATGGTATAGTAGATTCTGATAATTTAATGAGAAGACGAATGTTATCAGAATTATGTGATACATTTGCGCAGTACATTTCGAACAATCTGATCACATATATACTTGTTAAGACACTTTGTATGAAAAATAAAAGGTCAACCAGACAACTTAAAACGTAAGCAGAAACAAATATAATAATAAAGTACACAAAAACAACGTGAAAAACACTGGATAATAAATCAGTATTCCCAGGGTAGGTTAATAGTTAGAACAAATGGTTTTTGAACATATAAAAGGAGATTCGGTTTTCGTATAGCCAAGGCTTCTCATTGAACTATCGAAGTCTATCAAAGGTATAGTTGATGTTCAGTCTCGGAATGAACATCAACTCCGGGATGCAGATACATCCAGCTGACGAGTCCCAAATAGGACGAAACGCGTGTCCTGGGTTCCACCGCTAGCCACCATCCATTTTCGTTTATAATGCTTGTGACTTAAGGCAATATCGATGCAATCCGCACAGGATGCACATATGCCAATAAGAGACTGATCAATTGCAGTCCTAAACATCAATGGGAAGATTCAAACGAATAACACAAATTGAAGTAAATCAGTTTGTTCACTGGTAGGCTAATTTGATCTATCAGTTTCATGGTAGATAAATTCATATTGTAAATACTATGAAATTCTGCATTAACTGTACTATTCAACAATAGTTAATAAATTATTCCCTCATTTTATTTAATTGTTTAATGAATAACAAACTTCAAACAGCTTTAAATTCAATAAAGTTATACTGATAAATATTATGGGACATTTGATCAATTAACTGCATTTAGTTCATGATTTTATTTAGAAATCATTGATTTGTTTGATTAGCTGTCAGCATATATCATTAAATAGGATGTAACATTCAAACTTCGGCAAGTTTGTGTCTAACCTGAAAGTACCTTATTTGCTGAGAGGGGAAGTTATTAGTTTATTTATTTATTTATCTAAACATAAACATTGGTACAAGAATGTACAAAATAAATATGCGCCACACGAATCATTCGATGTGTTAGGGCTGGAATACTTCCTGAGCGCCGAAACTGAAGCAAGTGGTTTCCTTAGGAGGTCAAACCCTTAGCCTTTGATCTAGAGGTCCAATCCACAAGGCAATGGAGCAACGTTAGAAGATGCAGTTTCTGTACCCACCAACCTGACTGAAGTATCAGACATTCACTTATCATCCTCTTAATTTTGTGAACAACACCCTCTCCGCGAGAAGGCAGTGAATAAGACTTCCCTGGCAGTGGCTGTATACACGTGGCCATGTAGGAGCACTTGAAGGTGGGAGAGAGACTGAAAGAGGAAAGAGCAAGAGAAAGCGTGAGCAGTGGAAGCTGCAAGTTAGTAGATTAAGACGAATATTCAGATTTTCAAATAATCTTTGGAACTTAAGATAAAAGTAAATGGTAAGTAAATATAAATACAATTATGATTTAGAAACAAACCCTAATGTAAGAAAATACCACTAATTAATAATTCAATTAGTATCATTTTTGTATATGTATGCTGTTCATCAATTAATTGCTCACTTCGCTTGTTTCTTTTCATGACATCAAATTCTGTCCTCTGTTTATTAAATATTGATATGATAAAGATATCGAAGATTATTTCTTTTGTTATTAGTATATAGCCGTACTGAGGGATATTAGTTAATCAATATTGTATGAATACATATCAACATACATTAAATGAATTCAGATGAGAAACAAACAAAGAAACAATGATTAAAGTATGATAAGTTTATCACTATCGTGTTTAATTACCAACCACTTTGATTAAATTAACTATGAGGAATCAAGTAGAATGTCTTATATTGAAACTGTGCACAGTTCTTGTCTGTCATTTACACCGTATAGCAGTCTTGTCCATTTTTTTCAATCATGTCAATTTTCATTTTTAATACATTAAAGTGATGTACTATTTGCTCACGAGTGATCACACTACTACTACTACTACTAATACTAATGATAATAATAATAATAATAATAATAATAATAATAACGATAGTAGTAGTGCTATGGAATGTATTACTAGTGAAGGGTGGAGACACCGTACTCTAAATATTTATTTGACCGTAAAATCACAAAAAGCTAGTTTGACACATTTATATATCGTATTCATAAATCCAGTAAATAAATTCAATAATTAATGTGTCAAACAACGAAAGTTTACAATAAAAAAAAAGAAATCAAATTGTAATAAATATGATTATTATTGCGTTTTGAGAGTTGACTTCTGTCTTCACTTGATTTATATTATGGATTTAAGAAATCATATCCAGTTGCGTGAAACCTACATTCAATAACAACTATTTATATAGTTTACACCATTAACTGATCTTGGTAAAACAACCATTTAAAACTTGAAAACACTGGATGGTTATTTTAACTTTGTATAGCATTTTCATGTAGTTTCTTCTTGACGCTAACGGAGATTGAATCCAGGACATTCAGATCTTATAGGAACCAATTAACCCTTATACCACTAGTATTCGATGATTTATATTTCGAGCTCCAATTAATTTTTAAACAGATGAACTTGAGTGTACTTAGTAGAATACTCTTAGATACAATCAGTGTACAATAAGAGATACCAATTCATTAGTTTATGCTGAATATTAGTTGAGCTCACTTTATCACACATAACCACTGGTCTAAGCGCTCACAGCGGAACCTGAAGGAAAGGAGCGGTAACTTGATCTAGCAACGGTAGAAGAAACGTTATAAGAGGAAATATTAGGGAATTATATAACGCAATCAAGAAGCTTGCAGGTAAATAATGTAAACAGAGTGACAAAACTGTAACAAAGAAAGTAAACCAAATACTGAGGATCGAGAGCAGCGGAACACGTGCGTATTATACTATAAAACGGTTTTGAATACATTAGCTCCACTGAATCCAACGAACATTGAGGAGGAACACATAGACCTCCTTAAACATGTTACCACACAAATAATCGAAGAAACCGGAAAAGGTATCAAACAAATCGAGAATGGTAGAGCATCACGACCAGATACCATACCACTCAACGCATTGAAGCCAGATATACAGGTAAGTGCAGAGATGTCCCACATTTTCTTTAGAAAGATTTGAGAGGTAGAACAAGTATCAACAGACAGGAAAGATGGATACCTCACTAAAATACCACTATTCATCAACCTCCTCGACAATGAGGAAGCATTTGACAGTGTAGATACGAGAACCTTATGGAAACTTCTTCTACACTATGGTGCATCATACGGAATCCATACGACGGACTACACTGTAAATTGGTGCATGGAGAACAGCTGACGGATACATTCCGAGTGAGGACCGGTGTCATACAAGGATGCTTACTCTCTCCCTTTCTTACTTGTACGGAGCTGAAACTTGGAGAACTACCACAACCATCATCAAAAATGTACAAGTATTTCTAAACAATTGTGCACTCAAGATACTCGATGTCCATTGGTTGGATACAATGAACAAAAACAGCCTAGTGTGGGAGAGAACAAACCAACTTCCGATTGAAGATGAAATTAGGAGAAGATGTTGGAAGTGAATAGGACATACAATTTGGAAATCATCAAACTGTGTCACGAGCCAAGCGCTAACTTGGAATCCTCTAGGCGAAATTTAGAAATACATATCAAAGAACAGATTGCACTAAGAATTGGAGGTAGAAATCCTGATCCTGAATATCACTTGCCAACAACTGAAAAAGAGAGCAAAGGATCGAGTTACCTGTAGATCTCTAATCGTTGACCTGTAGACTAAGAGAAGCCGTTAGCTCACATAGCATTATTAATGTTTTGTGCTTCCTATATGTATGACATTTTTAATCTTATTTATATATTAGAAATTAAACTTGATTTACAAATATATTTGTCCATTTCATTTCGGAATGGGTTTTGTGGAGATTTTAGAAATTTCAATAGTTGAAATCATGAGTTAATTGAAGCTAGACCACCAAAGAAAACCTGGAAGCACTGGACGGTCTTTTCATCCCAGTATGGGACTCCTCAGTAGTGCACATCCATGACCCCGCCCCCTGCGAGATCCGAACACAGGACCAAAACTGCCGTCCGGTGCTTCCAAGTTTTGCATGGTGGTCTAGCTTCAATTAACTCATGATTTCAACTATTGAAGTTTTCATTTCATTTACCATTTAAATGATTTTAAATTATATTTATGTTATACGTGTGTATGTTATATACTAAATACCAACAAGAAGTTGTACTTGTTTGTTAAGAAAAGAGTATCGTAAAATTTACTGGGTAGTTGTTTTATCTTCTAAATCCATTCATTGATTAGGATTTTTACTCAGCTATTGTCAGTATGTAGATAACAAATAATCTGAATTGGATTTACGCAAATAAAGTAGATAATATAAGTGAGTTACATAAAGACAAGAAATAGAATTGTATATGAACTATCGATAGCAACCAATCAACTTAAGTAGATATGAATGAAACTCGTACAAACTCGGACGACTTCAAGAAGAAAAATTTCTTATTATAATCTTAGATAAGACTATTAATGCTATTATTAAAATTGGTTATTGGCTTACGGTGGAATCCAGGACCGGAATTTGTGACTGAAGGTTATCTCGAATCAGTTAACTCGGAATATATATACGCAAGCATCAAATGAACAGTTACTATCCTGAATATCGAAAATAGGAAATTACAAGTGTTTAAAGAAATTAAATTCGTACCCATTGAACATATTAGTTGTTATAAGGATTCATTAGCTCGTTGGACGCTTGGAGCTTAGGGTACTAGGTACGAGTTACGTTGTGACTATCAAAACTGGGACATAGGTACGTTTAGTTGACGAGTATCAAAAACGACGAAACGCGCGTCCCGGATGTACATATGCCAACAAAGACCGATGAAAGCCCAATCATATTATCAACAATAATTTAGTGCTATTAGTGGAATTATCAGTCTATAGCTTACTTGACTGTTAGATTTTCCTAAAATGGCAATATCATCAGCTAAGCTATCTGATAACTGAAATAAAACTGAGTTTGTGCTAGATCTAGTCAAGTTGCTATGTGTGCAGAACTAGTCAACCGAATAATAATTACTGGTTTGAGTTGATATCTTGTTAAGCACTTTTGATCTCTAAATTGTCAAATATCACTTTTTATAATTCACATTAAATAAAATAGTAATTTTGTGCAATGGTTTGTGAAGTTGATGAATGTTGATATACTTTTCATCAGAAGGAACTGTTTCATCTTAGCTTGAGAAAACTACTCAATAAGTGCACGAACATAACATTAATTGTGCAACAATCTAGAGGTTTGAAATTTTTTGACAAGCATGTTATCTGCTCAACCCTTGAGTAAACACTTCAGTCAGCTTACAATATAGCGCGATGTTTATTAAGTGCTGTCGTGTTGTGTTCTGCAATCTACTATGCTACTGAGATGAGTAGGAAGGTATACTTGCTAAGATCGAATGGTTGTGTATGTAGATTACAAGTGTATATATTTTCCCCTTGTCGCAGTTAAGAACGACTGGGCTGACAATGACTAGGGAGTAATTTACCTCAACAAATAGCATGTCTCCTAATAAATGACATGATTATCTGGATTTGTGAAATGGTGTCATATGTCTAAATATGCCCAGTCTCCCGAAAAATCCCTACCTTTATCTTGATTCATGGTAACAGTAAATCAACTACTTCAGATGGACAATATTTTCTTGTAGTTATTTTCATCTTGTGACTATTCTGCTCGACAGCTAAGACCAGCTAGTGGGAAGTCACATAGTAACAGTCGAAGACTCCATGATATATGCAGCTTTCATCAGGTATATATCTGGTTCTCTCTGCATCAGCGGATATTTGAAGTACAACATGATTGTCTCCAAATTATTTCTAATGTCCAATAAAAGTGCTATAGCTAGCATTTGTGGATGAATGATGAATATAAAAGCATGGTTTTCAACGAATACTTAATTTTAATCATCTAAATGTATCCTATGAGTCAATCAGTTAGGCAGCTACAACGTAGGACCAGGCACACATATGCATCGGTCCAAGTTAACATACTTCATTAACACAACAAGATGGACACCGGATTCATAAAGTAGTTAATTCAGAGGTGGTAATATATAAAAGAAAGATTGCAATATGAAGATAGAGTACAGGAAGAAAGAACTAGTTCGTAGAAAGATATGAAGCGATTTTAATCTTATGGTTTAAGGGAGGACAGAGAGTGTATACACCTACGCCAATGTGATCGATTCTGAGCCATGTCACCAAGACTCTCCAACCATTGGTCAAGACAGTCACGCGGACCCCAACCAAGTAGTCTGCATCTACCAACATGGCTCAGACTAGAAGTTATTGAATTCAAGCACTGATGCCACGTTTTGGTTTGTCCGCCCCTAACTTTCTTCCGACCATCCCGAACACCGGTTAGCATTGCACATCGTGGTAATCGGTGTTTGGGCATACGTAACACGTAGTCCAACCATCTCAGTCGATGAAGATTCACAACCTCATCAACTGATTTACCATCATTCCCTAATACCCTGCTTCTAACCTCCCTATTACTTACCCGGTGATCCCAGCAGACGCCAGCAGTATTTCTAAGGCATTTGTGGTCAAATACTAGTAACTTACGAGTGTCTTCTACTCTTAATGGCCATTTTTCGCTGCCGCAAATTAAAACAGAACGGACTGCCGCGCAGTATACTCGTTCTTTTATTGATAGACGGATATCTCGCCTTCGCCATAGGTGACGTAAGTTGCAAAAGCCAAACGAGCTTTTCGAATCCGTGCTGAGATTTCGTCAGACACCAACCCATTAGGGCTGATCAGACTTCCGAGATAAGTGAAGTTGTCGACGCGTTCGACTACTTCATTCCCTATCCTTAGTTCAGATGTTGACGCAGACCAGTCCTGAAGCAACAACTTGCATTTAGAGGGAGAGAAGCGCATTCCAAACATTCTGGCATTGTTGCTTAGTGCCACCAAAAGACTGCATTTTATCAGTGTCTTCACCAAACAGGACTATGTCATCTGCGTATTCTAAGTTGATAAGTGGACCTCGTGGGAGGAGATCAATACTCGAGAATTCAGTAGACGAGAATGTTATTTCCATCAATAGGTCTATGATGAAGTTAAACAAAAGTGGAGAAAGTAGACAGCCTT